TGTAGGGTTTCAGTGCAATGTGGGATAGCAAGTCCTAGGATAAGCCCAAGGAAACATGCCTGAGGGATCCATGATTCCCTCCTAGATCCCACCTTGTTTCAGAACTCAGTCATCTACCACTGATATATTCCTTTCCCAGGACCAGATCAATACTTAGGCTGAGCATGTGGTGAACATTTTAGTACGTAGCAAGTCTATGAATATTATATATTACCTAGTCACTGAGATAGTCGGCATGACTATTTTGGGTTAGGAGCATGCTTATGATATGGCTATATAGCTTTAATTCAGTGGTGACTGTTGCCAGGAAGAAAACAGTTTCCCAGGTAAGAACATTTCAACATGTGTTTGCAAGACCACCAGCCACCCCATCTCCAACAAAGTAGCAAGTCCTGTTTTGCTGGTAGTTAATAGATCATAGGTTTGATTTGGACTGCAGAAAAGAGCAATGAAAAGGCTGAGCAGGATTGAAAGTCATGCCCTCCAAAGCTGTGAGACTGAAGTGGGTGAGCAAGTTATACCAATCAGAGCCTTGCAGTCTCAAGGGGTTTATTGGAAACTTCAGAATGTCTGGATCTTCATGTAGAAAGTGGATGGACATCTGAAAAGCTGGGCATGCATACAGTCTGCTTATTGTTTTTAAGATCTTTTTTTTCTGTGAAGTGCTAAATAAAATACTTTGCTTTAACATGGCTGTTTGGTCATTGGCTCCCAGAGGGAAATGAACTGCCACCACTGACCCCAGGTCAGTATTTCTGGGGATATTATGATTAGTACCAGGGAACTGTAGACCCAGACCTGGTCTGAGAGTGGGACAATCATTTGATTTCAGCCCACTGCTAGAAATAAACCCTGTTAAGCCCCCTCCTGATATGGAGAGGCTGAGCAGTGCTGAGGCATACCCTCAAGGCCACTCCTAGCTGTTCAGGCTGGCTCCTAAGCCATTTTCTCCACCTGTCTTGCAGGCCTGGGAGCACATGGAGCACACCTAAGCTTGTTTAGGGAGCAATAGAGGGTTACTTTTAGAGACAGTTAGTCAGCCATGTCAGTCTGAAGTCAGGCAGAAGGCAGGGTAGATCTGCACCCATAGACTGACTAAATCAGAAAGATATATAACATAGGTTTTGTGGCAGAAGGCCACCTTTGTTTCTCCCCCGAACTTCTGCTCTGTGACAATTTGGTTAAGATGGGCCCTGCAAAAGGTACACACCTTACCCTATCTCTTTAGGTAACCTGACCTGGATACATTCCTGAGGGAGGGGGGAAACCTGCTCCCTCTGCCTGTGTGACTGGTATCACATACCTGGGTGAGGGGCTTGTTCCCTGAGGAGCTAGGAACTGCCAGTCTGCCCAGCAACTAGTGATGCATTTCAAATTGGTTGGCTGGCAGCCAACAGGTGCTGGCCTCCATTGGACCAGGTAAATGAGGTCATAAGGGCTATATAAGAAGGACTGCCCAGGAGGAAGGGGCAGCAGCCATGAGGAAGACTCAGAGAGAAAGAAGAGCTGTACCATCTGAAACTTGCTCTCTCTCTCTCTCTCTCAAAACTCATGATCAAGGAACTGCCTGCCTCCAGAGGGAATCTCCACCTGCCTCTGGATGATACTTGTGAGTCAGCTACCTGAGATCTAACTAGATATATAGCTTGCAGTAACTCAGATGCATGATCAAAGGCTACCCAGCCATGCCAGTTGGCTCTATGGGATTTCTCTGATATTGCTCTACCCTGCACCCTATTCCAACTCTACCCCTTGTAACCAATAAAGTTCTCCTTTGTACCTAGCATGGGAGACTTATTGGGAGTGGGTCTAGATTATGCCTTGGGGTCCCTTTGGTTCAACTGACTAAGGGAGACCACTATTTGTGCTTCCAACTGAGGGAAGCATCCCAAGTTCTTGAATTGAATCAAATACCCTTGAGGGCTACTAGGCCTGTGTTTCCCAGGGTGCACAGAGTCAGAATCAAGCCCATCCCTGGGTGGTGGCAGTGTTACCCCCAGGCTAGCAGGTGTGCTCCAGGAAGGGGGTCGGCCAGACGTGAGGTGCCCCCAGGGAGGCACTCGGAGCCTGGAAGGTGGTCAGGTGCAATGAAGTGGGTGGCTCAATGCAGGAGTGCCCCCTACTGGCCTGCTACAGGTTTTATCAGCTCAAGATCATGTCTTCAGATACTGTGAAAGGACAAGCACAGAGCAATTTATAAAATGGAGAGAGTGATTTGAATATAAAAGGTAGGAAGGGAGAGGCAAGAAGGGGAGAAGTAGTGCAAACAAGCAAGTAATAAGCCTATGGGAACAGAAGGGTCACAAAAGGTAATCTAGGTAATGGGATAAGAATCCGTAGTCCCTGTTTAGCCCATACTTAACACAATCTAGTCTGTTGGTGATTTCTTGTTCTGCAGTTTCCTATTCAAGGTGGTTCAAATTCCCATCCCTCCCTCCCTTTCTGCCTTTTGTATTCAAATCACTCCCTCCATTTTATACAGTGCTCTGTGCATGTCCCTTCACAGCATCCTTTGTTTTAAGGTCAGCATCTGATGAAGTGAACAATGCAGGAGACTTGACTATACAATTTTGTGGTAATGGGGGACTGCTTTCTTGCTTTCCTCCTGGCTTGCTCCGTGGCATTTTGGTGAAGAGCAAGCAAGACTAGTGGGAATCTGAACCCCAGCATTCCTGGGCTTGCATGTAGGACGTTGACCACAGATTTTGGGAGTATCTGAAGCTCCAGACTGATAAGTCTGGGAAGGAGGATACTTGCCCAGTGGTAGAGCCACATGGACTTGAATGACTGAGTTCTACTGTCAAAAGTTGGAACTTGACTACTGGGTTTTGCCTGATAGAATTTGGAGCTGATTTGGCCTTTGAAATAAAAAAGAGGAAAATTGGGCTCACAAAAGCTTATGCTATATATCTCTCTCTGAATTAGTTAGTCTATAAGCTGCAAATTTACCTGACTTCTTACACTCAGGCTAGGGACAGATATTCAAAAAGCCTGAACCTGAATTGATTCAATCTTTGCAGGTTAGTTTAACCTGGCTAGGCTGAACCAGTTCATAAATGCACAGACATTCCTTCTGGACTGAAGAAATGCAGACGCATGCCTGCAGTGGTTCAGGCTAGAAGCTGGGGGGTGCTACAGCCGCCCTCCCTTCCCTTCTGCAGTGCTGAGCTGAGGGGGTGGGGCATGGCCAAGCTCCAGCAGGACCTCTGATTAGAGAGGGGTCCTCTCCCCCCTAACTCACTGCTCCTGACCAGGCAGGGAGCCAGCAGGGAGTTACACAGGGAGTAACACAGCATTTAGCACTCCATTAAAATAAAACAAAAGCCTCTCTCATCAGTTCAAGCTCTTCTTAAACAACTTTTTCCAAGGAAGGAATGGAGGGACATTACCAGCTACCTGTTGATTAGCTCCAAAAAGACCTAAGTGGCCACTGTCCTCTCTGCTGTTGTCCTGCCTGCCTTACACAGACCCCTCTCAGCATTAGCTAGCATACCACATATTGGCTACATCCATGCTGTGGGAGAGGGGAGGGGAAAAATCCTTGCTTGAGCAGGGAGTGGGGTGAGGGAGCAGAAGGAAGCCAGACAGATGCCACTGTGCCTGCAGTCTCTGCTGGAGCTCCAGCCAGGGAGCAGAGGGGTGGGGCCAGCCCTGCTCTAAAGCAGAACCCCACCCAGGGATGCAAAGCATCTGGGATGTTGGGGGACTCTGATTTAAATTAAACCAGGAAGGGGTCTGGGACAGACATTGCATAAACCAGTTTGACCCAAATCAGTTAAGTCGGATACTACATTCACCCAAGTTTATCTCAAATCAGTTTCAGCCATTTTCAAACTGGTTCATGTGCACTGAACATCTGTTCTGTTACAGGTTTAAACTAGTTTCTGATCACTTAAACCGGCTTATGTATAATGTCTGTTCCTAGCCTCAGACTCCATGACAAGGGAGATGGACTTAGGCTGGTAAATTTAACTCAGCCTGTTCCTTGTCTCCTCCCACTGACTGCACATACCTATCTACCCAGCATTGTCTTATCGCTAACCACATGAGTCAAGATCCATTGAGGCGATGCAGGAGAATAAGGAAGAAAGGGGAAGAAGGGGTATTATTTCTCTTCTCAAACTTCTAGATGAGTTTACAGTTTAACAAAAAATCTGACTCTTCAATAAGCCTTGAATTATTTAAAAAAAGTGAAATGTGGTCTGAAAGAAAATGAAGCAGAGTTTTTAGTGAGGGACAATGTACACTGTTGCCTACAGGGTCCCAAATCAGAAGTAGATTTACTGTTGCTTCAGGTGCATTTTTCCAGCTTAGGGTTCACTTTTCAAACTATAAAGAACCAAAGTGCACTGTGAAAATCAAATGGGGCATATATTGCCATTGGTAAAACTGACTCTTTCAGTGTATGAATAGAAACGAATGCATAACACTACTTTGCTTTATTAAATGGAAAACTGACATTTAATGGTTAGGTAGACAGTCAAAAAGCCTGAGGCTGAATCAATTCAGTCTTTGCAGGTTAGTCTAAATGGCACAGATTAAATTGAAGCAGAAGTGAACATACATTTACCTTTGATACAGGAAATGCAGCCACATGCCTGCAGTGACTTACAGCCAAGAGCTGGGGGGCAATAGAGCATGGCCTTCTGACCCTGCATTCACTTTCTCTTCCTGATGTCCCTCTGGTCTCTGGGATTTATAATTCAGAATTACAGCAGCAGGACTCTGCTCATCACTTGCTCTTCCTGCTTCCAGGTGCCCCTGGGATTTGTAGTCCACAGTTGCAGCCAGCATCAAGTTTGAGCAGGGAATAGGGTGTTTAACCCCCCCAAGCCTGGCCCTAAATCCCAGCCAGAATTTGCCTGGGTGGTAGTCCCTAGGGCTGTGCGAAGCTTCGGTCCCTGATTCAATTCAGCGGAGATTTGGCCTGATTCAGTGGCTGAATCTCCAAATCCAAATCAAATCAGAGGACCCTTTAATCTCTCCGAATTGAATTGGAACCCTTCAAATCGATTCACAGAGATTCGGAAAGATTTGGTGATTCGGACATAGACACAGCTTTAAATGTTTTTTCTACATACCTCTAGGTAGCAGGCAGCTTGTCAATGCTGCGATGCTGGGGCACATGGAGCATCCCACAGAAGTATGGGGGGCTCCCTAGCATGCTTGGTAGCAGACCAAGAAGTGAACCAGAAGCACTCCCAGTCTACTTCCAGATCCGCCAGGGAGTGCATTGGGGGGGCTCTCATGTGCCCCCCCAGCCCGATGACTGGTGCCTCCTGGGTGTGGGGTGGGCACCTGGGGTCCTCCCATGGCCGATTGCCAAGGCGGGGGGAGGGGACGGGGCCCTCCCCTTGCACTCCCCGGTGGACCTGGAAGTGGATCGGAAGCATTTCCAATCCAATTCTGGGTTCAATGCTGAGCACATGGGGGTCCCCCCCACACACACTCCTGTGGGATGCTCCATATGCCCCGGCATCACAGCGTTCGCAAGCCATGCTGGTACCTTGAGGTATGTAGAAAAAACATTTAAAGCTGTGTCTGTGTCCAAATCACTGATTCTCTGAATCAGCATTGAATCTTCAGATTCGGATTCAGCCGAATTGAATCGGGGATAGTAATCCAAATCAACAAATCGAATCACTGTCCCTGATTCGAGCCGAATACAAATTGAATAAGGCCTGCTTCGCACACCCATAGTAGTTCCCCGCTGCCCCAAGACTGGGCTGCATCCCCAGCCAGCCTTACCCACCCCCCTCACCCTCTTGTCAGCCAGCCCTCACTGCTCCAGCTAGGGAGCAGAGGGGTGGGGCCAGCCCTGCTCCCTGGAGCAGACAGTACAGCCCAGCCCAGCCCAGGGCTGCAGAGCATGCTGGGATGCTGGGGGACTGTGATTTAACTTGAACCAGGAAGGGATCTGGGACAGAAGTTTCATAAACCAGTTGACCCAAATCAGTTAAGTCTGATACTGCATACAACCAGATTTATCTTAAACCAGTTTCAGCCATTTTGAAACTGGTTTATGTCCACTGAGCTTCTGTTCTGTTATTGGTTTAAACCAGTTTCTGATCACTTAAACCAGTTTATGTGTAACTTCTGTCCTAGCTAATATAAAGACTGTGCTCACTTTTCAAACCCCTCTAAGAGATTTGGATGCCAGGTTCCCATTACAACTAATGGACACTCAAATCCCACGTGCAATTTTGAAAAGCTCAGCCAGCAAATCCAAATGTGGCTGCCTTACAAATGTTTGCTCTTCCAAGGAAAAAGGACCATGAGTTTGAGCAGCTGTTTGAAATTAGCTGATCTGGTTCCTCTCCAGTTTGCACACTATTCACATGATGCCTTCAGAAATTCAAGCTAAATACTTCATTGCAAATGTCTGCATTACCACTCTGTCTCAGTGCTGTCTGTAGGACAGGAAGAGGAGCCTCCTGACACATCTTTCGCCAAATCTGCAACAATGCCAGGATCTGTATGTTAAATGAGATGCAAGGTTTATGGTTCTACCCTTGGTCAGACAGCCATGGTAATGTGAGCGTAGACCCCAGACAGATCTAACAAAGATGTTGCCTCCCACTAATTCTATTCCAATGACTTCAAATCTGCCTCACTGGTTACCTCTGACTCTAGATTCAGATTCATGTATTCTAAGGCCAAGAGAACCAGCTAGTTCAACGTCCTGTATATCCCAGGCCATAGGATTTCCCCAAGTTAATTCCTGTCTGGACTAGAGCGTGGGTTTTGGGAAAATATCCTGTCCTGTTTCAAAAATTGCCAGTGACAGAGAAACCACCACAAACTTTTGTAATTTCTTTCAAGAGTTAATTACCTTCCCTGTTTAAAAATCTGTGTTTTATTTCCAGTCTGAGTTTGTCTGACCTCACCTATCAGATGCTGGTCCTTATTCATAGATTGTAGAGTCAGAAGGGACTGCAATGGATCATTGTGTCTGACACCCTGCCCCTGGCAGGAAAGAGGACCGAGGTCAGATGACCCCAGCCAGGTGACTATCTAACCTCCTCTTGAAGACCTCCAAGCTAGGTGATAGCACCAGCGCTCTTGGAGCCCAGTCCAGATCCTGGCCACCCTTACTGTGAAAAATGTCTTCCTAATATCTAACCTAAATCCACTCTCAACTAGTTTACACCCGTTACTATGTTTCTGTCTGATCCCAGCCTCTGTTACTGACATTCTATATAGCTAGGTTCAGTTGCTGCCCCAAGGAACTTACAATTTCAAATGTCTGGCCCCTGCCCTCTTTTACACCAGATGAAATCCAAATCAGGAAAGAGGGTGATACATTTCCAGTTCTTACCTGGCTCTTTACCTCTGAATGTTCATGCTCCAGGCGGGAACAGTCCTTCTCCAAAAACCCAAGGCTGTTTGCTAAGAGCCTCCAATCTCTTCTTTTTGAAGACATCTCTGTTGCAACCTGCAAGAGCTGCCTGTCACACAGGTGTGATCTGTCTTTGAAATGCACAGCTGTCTAGGAAAACAAAATGAGAAAGAGGCTTTTCTTTAGTTGGCATCCTTAGATGTCATAAGGATGGCCAACACTTAAAGGCATTTGAAGACCCCTTCAAAGCTTGTGGCCTTTGGCCATTAATATCAATGAAGTTTGAGCAAGGTCCCTACTCCCTTGGACAATATCACTGCTATAGGCTCAGCAATATGGGCTACTACTCTTCCTTCCCCACTGTCACCCACCAGCAATGATGGGGTGAAATGAAGTTGCACCACTCATTCAGTTCTTATAGTCTAGTAATCACCAAGTATTTGGCAACAACCCCTTGGTTTATGTGCACAGCATCTGGGATTCCAAAGTGGTCTGTGTACTATCCAGGTCAAGGACTGCTTAGTTTAGGAGAGCAGGTGAGATCAAGTATATTTAATCTAATATGGCTACATACTATAACACTGGTGCTCAGTCTATGGCCTGCAAGCCAGATCCAGCCCATGGAGGAGCAATTAATACCGCCACTGCTCCCCTGCTGCTGAATTTCAGGCCTGTGAACCAGTCCTGCACCACTTATCTGGCCCGTGTTGGGCATCGCTGTGCTATAAAATCCCACAAACAAACCTTTTGACACATTAATCACGGGCACAAAGCACCTTGAGTTCAAAAGAGATTCTGAACTATAATAGCATTGATTTTCCAAGAAAGGTGTGTTCTCCTCTCAGGGACCACACACAGGTCACCCAACAAGGCTGCCAAAGAGCATTTGCACATGGAGGAAAAGAGCATTAGCACTAGGTCCATATCTCAAGAAGCAACAGCATTTGGAGGCCACCTGGTGCTTGACACCATATCACACTGAACAGGGAAAGATGATCCTTGCCCCAAAGTTTGCAATCCAAATAGACCAAGGGAAACAGGGAAGATAAGCAACGTGCCCAAAGTCACACAGTGGGTCAGTAATAGAGCTGGGAGTACAATGAAGGTCTCTTGAGTCTTAGACTAGTACACAAACCACTAGCCCACACTGGGCAAGTCTACATGTGCTATGGAGTAAATCAAAAAAATCGGGCACATTGTGCCAGAGTTTATTGTTTCAGGGCACTACATTTACGCATGCACCCAGAACCCCAGCACACTGAGCTGGGTCGAAGCAACCCTGGAAGGCAGAGGGTCTGGGGTGTCAGCCTGCCAGCCTGGGGCTATTCCGACCTGGCTCAACGTGCTGTGGAGGGGCTGGCTGGGGCATGAGGCTGCTCCAGTGCAGGGCTAGCTGTCAGGCGCCGTCATGCCCCAGGCAGTCATGTCAACATCTACACTTGTGCTGCTGTAGAGTAAAACACTCCACAATAGGATAGTACTTTTATTTACAAGTACTACCCTGTTGCAGAGTTGATTAGTTTCCTAATGAGGGCCACACATGTAGATGCAAGACATTTACTGCAGAGCTAATTAGCCTACTCTGCAGTAAACATCTCAAATAGATGCGTCCACTAACTCCTAAAAAGACATAAAGGATGCTATCAGAGAGGAAGACACACATTCTGCTAGAGGAGAACAGACATGCCCTTGAATGAGGTGCATAGGCTCTATACCTAGACAATAACGGAGGATTAATTATTTGGCTATAGAGCAACTGCCACTTTTTATGATCAGGGTAAAATATAAGCTGAAAGCATCAGTGATTGGCCATATACCACAGTTAAGACAAAAAAGATAGGGCTTGGCCCTCTATAGAGAAACACTAGGGCTTGTGAAGGGGAGTGTGGACTCTGGCTTAAAACCAGCAAAGTATCTCATGTTTGGAAGGGGCTAAGTTGCTGAGAGAGCCAGAGGCATAGGTATGTACACATCTAGAAGCCCTGATAGTTGGCTTCTTGATAGTTTCCCAATCTAGATGATTGGGAAAGCAGGGCTGAGGGTAATAGGCTAGGCCACCTGGTGCAGACAGGGGTTAGGAGACCTGGGGTTGTTCCTGCTCACTATGAAGGCCTGTAGCAGAGGCTGTGTCCTTAAACTCTCTGATGCTGTTGGAGAACGTCAGATGAATTCTTGAATGGGAGAATGGAGAAACTCCTGGAGCAGAAGCTGAAATAAAGAAGCAGTGTGGACCAAGAAGCTGGTGCTTCTTTGTTCTTCATATAGATGTTTGTAGCTAAAGCACAACTCCCCTGCTGAAAAGTGACATCACACAGGACTTGTACCAGGGTCTTCAAGTCAGCGTGTCCCTCTGTGGGCATGCAACCTGAGACACAGAAAGAGTCTGACCCAATGAAAGTGTAGAATTCCCTGCCGTCTGAAAATATCATCACTTCAAGGTACCTCAAACCATAGGCGATGCGTAAATGCTGACAGTGAGGCAAGGCACAACTCTGTGCTGCCGCTGCCCCTGCCCTCACTGCTACCAGGCATTGGATCTGGCCAGGCTGCAGCCCCATGCCCTGTGTCCAGATGTCAAGCTGGGTACTTCAGTCATTAGTCACTTCTAAAAATCTGGGCCTGATACAGTTGTTTTCCACAAAGCACTAAATTTTATGTAAAATAAAACTGCATTAAAAAAGAGTTTATTTACCACCATTTCTGCTCTTTCATGTGGGTGTGTTTTCAATAAGGGGTGAAATTTAAAAGCCTACTTACGGAAGGAAAAGAAGATTCTTGCTCCTTAAGATGAGTGATGTTGGAAGGTATGATTGGAAAGTGAAGCACTGACGTCAATGTTTGCTGGGGAAGGGTCTTCACCCAAGCTAAAAACTGATCTTCATCAATATAACCTAATCAGGCATGAACACAATCTATTCAGAACACAGACAATAAAGGTTTTGTACTTCCAAGCTGTATTCCTCCCACTTGTGGTATTTATGTCTTGAGGATAAAAACAGTGTAATCTTCAAGTCATTACTCACTAGTAGTGGCAGCTGAAATGACTTACCAAGTCAAATATGCTATGTTATTGCACAGTGTCTGCATTTCATTTTTCCCTTTAGCCTGGGTAAGAATAGTCTTAAATGGCATAACTAGATAATGGAAAAACTAGGGCAGTTTTTCCCAGTTGCAAAGTTATAAAATCACACTCCTTGAAAATACATCAGCAAGTTTTGATGCAGCTTTGCTTGTTTTATATTTAACTTATAGAAAAATTAAGGTTCTACCTACTTCCCATTAAATGCAGTTTTGGTCTTTGTATGACATTTTCACTTTCAAGGACTGGCTTTCAATAATGTGCCATACCCTACCAGTGTTGTTGTCACAAAATCAGTTACAGCTGCTAAGTGAATAGACTTCTAGAAATAAAACTGATGGCTAAAGGATTCAAACTACATAAACCCTCTTCCCTACTCACAGGTATGTACTCTACCTCTACAATAATGGCCACATGTTAGACCATGCCCTGTTACTTGAATTCTGCCTCTTCAACCTGCTGTCCTGTGTTTGCCCTTACCTATCTTCCATCTCAAACTGCGAGTTGTGAATGTTTGTAATGCTGGAATGCAGGAGGAAGGCAGTGTGATAAATAGGGATGACAGAAGCCTGTACTCTGCAAGGTGAAGAGGGTAGAATTAAGATCTTAATTTGGTATATGGTGGTTCTGGAAAGGCTTAGACCTGTGGGTACAAGAGTCAGTGAGATGTGATATTGGGTGAGTTACATCTGCTCCAAGCCTCTCTGATGCACAGGGACATGGGATCACTCTGAATCTGGCCTAAAAGCCCAGCACCAGAGTCTATTTTGTATATTCTTAGCTCTCCATCTACTAGTCTGTGACTCCTGCTGGTTTGTACAATGTGCAGTCTTCTGCATAGCCCAGAGGGAGGGTTGAGGACAGAAACTATCTTGCCTCCCACTTCTGTACAGGAGCACATTGAGCATAAGAAGAATCAGGGCAATGCTGGGGGTGGGAAGGAGGGGAAAAGAAGCTGCCTTTCAGTATTGCAAGTTCTAAAAGCAAGGCCACCCTTTCAGGTAAAACCTTTGTGTAGAAATAGGCAGCAGAGGAAGCCAAATAGTGTGGTGATTGACACTACCTGAAGAAACTGAGATGGGAGCTACAGGGTTCATTTCTGAATCACGGAGAGGGCAGACATGGAGTCTGAGGCATTAGCAGAATGACTTGAGCTAACAAAACACCTCTGTAATGTAGCTGGAGCTGGAATTAGTGTCTGGCGTGGGGGAGCCCTAGATTCTGCTTCTGCTTCTCTCTCTCTTACCTGCTTCTATGTCTGATACCTGAAGAACTGTATTGTGGACTGTGGGCTAGAGCCCTATGTATATCTCTGCATTGAATCCCTCTGTCATCCTGCCCTGTAGAAACCCTTCCCCTAACCTGTTTACTTTCCCTTTATCTTACCTATCCCCTGCCCATAGTGACTTAAATCCCACTTAATCCCACACTGACTACTGGAGTATTTTTTTAGCACATCAGTTCAATGTAGGCACTGCCCCTCAGGCTGCTAGAAAGGAATAATAAATGAAGTCTGATACCACAAATTTTGCCTGCAAAAAGCTGATTCTCCCTGCTCCTCTTACTATATCAGCTGGTCCAGGTGGTATCCTGCTCTTGCTGCAGGGCTCAGAATGGTAGTACAGTACATCCTTGGAGGGACACTGTTTCTCCTCTCTGAGCATGGCAGCACCTGTAGATCTTCATCAAGTCACTCAGAATATGCCCTATCCAAAGCACAGCACACTCACTGGAACAGCTGCCAAATTACCTCGATTGCTTTTATCCACTTCATTAAGAAAAAGAGTAGCAAGCTCATCAGTGGTCTGTGGGCCTTCCCTGGGGTACAGGTTATGCATCAGACTCCGCAGCTGTTCCTTGCTGATGGTGCCAGAGGTTAAGATCTGATATAGTCCTGAGGAAGAAGGGTAATAAAGCCATCTGTTACATTCTGGTTGTCTCCAAAACTAGTCAGTTCTTGGTCCAGTGCCTTGTAATGTGAGCTTGTCTCTCACTGTTCCTGGTTGTAGAACTGACATGGCATAGATTCAGGTTGATCTCTTTCCAAATGGCAGTGGTGATTGATTGGAAGGCTGAGAAGTGGTCAATGTTGCTCTTATTTTAGCAGGGTGTGTTCTTTGATGTTTAAACGGAGCCACATTCTTCTGCCAAGGCAGCTAAACTGTCCTATGGCTTGGATCAGGGATCAGGGGTGGGCAAAATGTGGCCTGAGGGCCGGATGTGGCCTGCTAGGCCATTTTATCTAGCCCGCAGGGCCCCTAAAAAATTTACAAAATTAATCTTAATCTGCCCTGCCTGTCATGAGGCCCTCGATGGCTTGCCAAAACTCAGTAAGCGGCCCTCTGCCCAAAATAATTGCCCGCCCCTGGCTTGGATGCTATTCAGTGTGCCAGGGTCTCTTGTCTCATCTAAAAAGATGTCATGCCCATGGTCTAGAGGTTTTGTGAAAAACCTCAAGTTGCTTTTCAAAAAAGAAAGTAATATTCACAGTGGAGTTTCTAACTGCATTTTGCTTATCTAACCTACCAACTATTTCTAGGTGCTGGTATGTTCCCCTGACTCATAGTGTTGATGGTAGAGTTATAAGGGGTGATTAAGACCCACCCTTCTCCAAGCTGGGTGCATTTCAGTGATGGCTGAAGTTAAGACTCTGATTATAGAATTCTTGATAGAGAATGCTGTGAGTAAGCCTGGCTGAAAACCTACAATCATGTCACTCAAGTAGGAAAATAACTAAATAAGCTGTAGTGAATAATTACTTGGTATATTATTCATTATCAGATATTGATCATAACAAATTTCTCTCTATATTACAGTAGCAGTTAGTAGCTCCAACTGAGATCAGGACCCCTTTGTGTTAGAACTACATATGCATGCACATGCACATACACATTTAAGTAACAGGGCTCTTACCTGTCAGAGTACACCAGGTGTAAAACATACAATGGAATAATTCTAGCAAAACAGTCTCCCCTTCATATACTTAAATACCAGATTTAAATGTGCAGTGACTCAACACATGGCAATGTTATCTTGGATAAGCATATCCCAAGTACAGAATCAGTGGGGAGAAATGATGTCTTAACAAAATTTAAGATAGTTGTGATTTGGCTTGGTCTCTGGGGATGAGTGAGATGCTTTGAGATCAGTTTAATAATCAAGCCAAATGCAGTATTCTTGGCAGACTACTTGACAGCAGGTGCCATAACCAAAAAGAAAACAAATGAGATAACATGAGATCCAGCAAACAGAGCCCTGGGTAGGTTGGAATTTGGAGGTACTGATTCTATTTTTCATTCTGCAACTAACCTACTAAGTGACCTTGGGCAAGTTATATCACCTCCTTTCTAGTTCAGAAATCAGAAATCAGAACTTCCTTTCAGTTGGTGCAACCTGCACATTTCCAAACCGAGTGCCCACTGGATGGCACTATTGTTACTGCCTAAATCACAATCCCATTCTGAAAATAGGAGCATCATGCCTACTAATTGTAACATCTGCACATATATAGGGCTTGCCTAAGATACTGATTTTAGTTCTGTTATTAAACTGATCTCACACACTATTTGTTTAATTTCCCAGAGATCTTGAGTAATTTGAATGACACCTGTCTTACATTTTATTAAGCCATTTGCTTCTTTCACTGACTCAACTTTTTTGTGCCTGTCTTAGTTAACCCTAATCTATGCATGCAATGCCTGTGCAAAAGAATATGGGGAACAGGCAGGATATCTTAATAGGCTCAAGTAGGTTCTGGGTTTCTCAAGGAGCCAGGAGGCTTGGGTTTCAGCAACTTAATCAATGCATAATGTCGACCAGTTCAGCAGTGGATATGGAATCTCCTAAAAGGCACAATTCAGAAGGCCCAGAGACTTGTTGTCTGTTCAAGATTCACACTACCTGAATTGCAACTAGGTCCAACCACTTCACTTCCTGACCCTAAAGATAAGGCTACTACAGATGAAAACTGGATTTGCAGCCAGATTCACAGCTACTGTAAATCAACACAGGCCATGACTGAATAGCATGATACAGTTCTGTGCACCAAGAGTCCCATGTAGTTCATGCATCAGTCTGCACAGTGCTGTGATACTCAATGCTAGCTCTGCACATGCTAGCTCTAGGATCAGGAGCAGTATTAGCTGTGTTTGTGGGGTGTTCTGCTGCGGCTAACTAGCCCTCCTGAGAAACAGGGTATATTAGTGTGATACGCCACCCAAGCCATTGGTGCTGACTTTTATTTTTACTGGGGTGGACAGGGGGCTAGGGTGGCCACATGATTTGCTTATGCACACATGCATGTGGTGGCCCCTGCCTCCCAGTGTGTGCAGCCCCTTGCTGGCTAGAACTCTACTAGCCTGCAAAAGGACCCCTGCCATTTCCTGCATTTTTCCACAGTGAACAGAAAACCCAGATTTCTGTACGATACCGGGAATACGGGACAAATGCTGTCCCAGAGTCATGTGGCCTGGGATCGGGACTTGATGGTCCCATTTTGGGACTGTCTCATCCGATTTGGGATGGGTGGTCACCCTACCCTCTTCCTGAGGGGGGCAGGGTCCTTGGGTCCCCATATACTTGGTGCCTATGACCCAAGCTAACATGGCCACACTGCTGCTGGTAGCTGAGCTGACTTATTCAGAGCTAGTCTGGGTATCACTGGGTGGTCTACAAATGCACTTTAATGTGCAGTAGCTTCTTCTAACGTGCATTAAAGTGGTGCATAAAAAACTGAGCTAATATGCTAAAATGCAGTAGAATAGGCTACTGCATATTAAGTGTCACCTAAAAAGCGTGTACTTGTGCTACAGCACATTAGCACAGCCTAATGTGCATTTATTTAGTACCTCATATTGGAGGTACTAAATTTAATGAACATTAGGAAAAGCTCACTAATATACATGTAGACTTGCCCACTATGTGGCACTGCATTTGTGTCATTTAGATCTAACGAAAGCTGTCTCCTGCAGTTTTTCTCTGGAAAATCCTCACTGGCTCTATACAGGGTTTTCAGGGCTCCCTGTTCTAATCATTTTGCTTGGGATGTAAAAGGGCTGCTGGGATAAGGATCTTATCTGTACATCTTAATTCTCTCTAGTTGGCATCCTATAGCCACAGCAGTTTCAGACTGTATTATCTTATGGACTGTATAACTACATCAGTTCCTCCCTTTTGTTTTATATCGTACAAAATCATATCAATATACTTAATATGTCTTTTGAGAATGCTTTTACTAGTAATACAAACACATGAAATTTAGAGCTTTGTCATACAATAATTTTGGGTGGGTCCTGGACTGTGTACACATATTACCACTTGAAACTAGTTTTAAGCACTCGTTAAGTGACTCTGTCCTGCTCCCAGGGACACTTTCAGTGCCCTAGCTGGGCAGTGCCTGCCCCTGCCCCACTCCTTCCCTTACCATGGGAGCCTCGATCTACTCCCCACCATGTCCCTTCCCTCCCCCCCACAGATTTACTGGTGGGATATTGTTCTCCAAGCTGCTGGGCTGCATTCGTGGCCCTGTACTTGGAGGCTGCACACATGCATGCAGCATTTATCAGTGACACTATCGGCTACGTGGGCCAAAAAACGCTGATTGCCGATAATGTTAATTTTCCTTTTATTGGTGCTGATCCAATATGGACCAATATATCGGTGCACTTCTAGCCGTCAACATTTGTGTGGCTCACAGAGTAACATGTAACAAGGCCCTTACAGATTTATGTCTTAAAACCTACTTAAGGAAGAATGCCATCCTGATTATGTATTCTCTTCTCTCTTGGAATCAGGGCATGAACAGACAGACATACCCTGGTGTGATTTAGACTTCATATTGTATACTAACGTAAATTACATTTGAATCAGGAATACATAGACTTACAGCTATCAAAGGGAACTGCCCTCATCTGGTAAGCCTATTTGCTTTTAATCTATAGTTTCCCTCAAAAGAATACGGGCAGGCAAAACATAACCCATACTAAATGGGCAGAAGCAATTGGTGACGGACAGGGGGGACAAGGCTGAACTCCTCAACGAGTTCTTTGCCTCAGTGTTCCTAAGCGAGGGGCAGGACAAGTCTCTCACTGGGGTTGTAGAGAGGCAGCAGCAAGGCACCAGACTGCCATGCGTAGACCCTGAGATGGTGCAGAGTCACTTGGAGGAACTGGATGCCTTTAGGTTGGCAGGCCCGGATGAGCTCCATCCAAGGGTACTGAAGGCACTGGCTGACGTCATTGCACAGCC